GAATACCAGAATCCCATCTTAGACCACAACCATCCCCCACCTTCCAGGTCTGGAGAGAGAACTACACACAGGAGACAGTGGCAGAAGAAAAATAACACCTGAATTTTAGCTAGGCTTACACTATCTGATAAGGTGGTCTGAGGTCACATACCTAGAACTGGAGGCTTACAGGGCCCTTTTTCAGGGGCCAAATTAAAAATATCTAACCACTAGGACAGCTAGGACGCTGCCTAATCAAAATGGACACTGGCTGAACCAGGTCACACCTTCACAGTGTAACTACAACCTAGCTGTTCCCTCTCTCTAAGCCTGAGCGCATGCCTGGGTTGGATTGTCACTCGGTCCCATGGGGACAAAGGGAGAAAAACCTGGAGTGATCCTTCTCTTGCGTATGATCCAACACATCATGCATGACCCTATCTGCTGGGGGAAATGGCCTGGTCAGTGTCTTGAAATCTAACCAGCCAGACTAGTCACTCCTCTCGTGGAGGTAGGGGAACACCATGGGTGACCCCTTACATATTATCTCATTTAATCCTCACAGTAACTCTGAAAGGTAGATATTTTTCTTGCCATATTACCCATGAGAAAGTTAAATATTAGAGAGGTTGAGTAATTTGTTTGAGGTCACATAATTAGTATTAGGAATTACATGGGTGGGCTGGGGGAGGTCAGTAAGAAGAGGTGATTTTTGAGTATGGCGCAATGTGAAATCACTCACATTGTCATCTCAGTTTCTTGTTCAAGTGAAATGAACATCCTGTACCGTTAAAGACACCCAAGGAAACAGGGCCTAAAGTCACCCTTTTTTGTGGCTTAATTATGGAACAGGTGGGAGGAAGGCATCTCTCTCTACTTCAGCAGAGAAGTGGCTGCACACCGGCTGTGGTTAATGATATGAGTCAGTGAATAGCCACTCAGAAATGCATGTGAGACTTTGTCTCCCCCCTATATCCTTGAGAGATTCAGAAGGGACCTGTGGTTCCAATGACCTTCTTGTGGAGGCTGCTCCTGTCCATATTATCCAATTGTAGTGTCAAACTAGAGTGGTCTGGAGAGATGTGTGTTACACAAACATTACATCTCTGACAGAAAACTCTATATTTGTTCCACCCCCACATTCTCCATTCAAGTTCCCAGAAGTTTGCAATTATCCTCAAAAGACGTTTCCAAACAAGGCTTACTCAGCTTTGGTTTTCAGTAGGATGAGATTATTTTGTTTTGATTTTTTTTTCCTCATTTCTTTTAACTTGGTTGACCATTCTAGGCTGGTGTATAAAAGCTGGTCATGAACCACACACCCATTCCCATTCACCTTTCACCTGCTTGTTCTTTCTCTCCTCATCCTGGATTCTTGGCCCTACATGCCAGTTTGATGTTGGCATCTCCCTCTTTCTTTGTGTCAATCCCACTTCTTTCTTCACGGGACTCCACTTTCTCCTCTAGACCACATGGACTTTGACCTCTTGCCCAGTTTTTAGTTGTTCTAACTCCTCTGGCTTGGTATCCTATATTGACTTAGCTGACATTCTTTCATACTAAGCCCTGGTATTGTGGATTCCACCAGCCAACTGCAGCTGGGTGGCATCAATTTTCCAAGCCCTTTGCCTTGGAAAGAAAACTACCTGACAAAAACAATGGCAGAGGAGAGGGAAGAGTTGCTTTTAACCCGCACTTGCTGGCACTGCCAGCCAAATTTCTGCTTGCCGCTGCACCCCTTTCCTGCTGGATCCAAGAGACTTAGGAAGGATAAAAAAATATCCTTGGTTACAACAACTTTGGAAAACTGTTTAGCAGTATCTGCTAAAATTGAACACGTGCGTATACTTTTACCAAACAATTCTACTCCTAGATATATACCCAACAGAAATGCATACATATGTTCACCAAAAGATATGTACAAGAATGCTCATAGCAGGATTATTCATAATAGCTAAAAACTGGAAACAATCCAAATGTCCAACAGCAGTAGAACGAATAGAGTTCATTCAATATATATTCATATAATATTCTATATAACAATGTAAAAGAACAGACTACTACTATGCCCAACAATGTGGATGACTCTTACAGATACAATGTTGACCCAAAAAAGCCACAAACAAAAGAATACATGATATATATTCCATTTATGTGAAATTCTAAAACAGAAGAAACTGATCGATGTTGTTAGAAGTCAGAAAAGTGGTTACCATATGGGGAGTGGTAATCAGGTGGGGATATGAGAGGACTGGATGCTGATAATGTTTTGTTTCTTAATCTGTGTACTGATTAAACTAGTGTGTCCATTTTGCAAAAATTCATCCAGCTGTACACTTAAGATTCATGTATTTTCCTATATATGGTATATGTGAATAAAGTGAACGACAGAAAGAAAAATTTCCTTGCCTTGTCTTGAAAATGTCATTATAAAGGACACTCAAGGTTAGTGGCTCAGTAAATGGGTTTTCTGGTGTTCTTATTTGTCATTCTGGAAAACCTAGCAATTCCTATTAACCTAAAAAGCCTATAGATTCCTCTGCTGTAATGAAAACATTCCCCCCAACCTCCAAGTGAACATCATAATATTTAGCAGGACATGGTCAGTGGTATGACACACAGCCAACACTCTACAGGTTCCCAGGTGGAATGGAAGGAACAACACTAGCTTTAAGAAGGATTCAGGGGGGTGTTCTGGGATGAGTTAACCAGGTTGGCTGGATAAGACAGCCTGCAGGCTGCAGAGCATGGGGCCATAGCAAATCTGGACACTGTCAAGGGTTGAAGCTGGAATAGAGGACCAAGAAGATTATTTTAGATTATCTTATCTTAGTGAATTATCTGACCTAGCCAAAGAAACAGGCAGAGCAGCAGAGGGTAGGTAAAGGAAGACAGGATAGATATGGAGACCATCAGGACAGAGAAAGTGGATTTGGTAGAAAATGGAGCATGGGAGTGAGCAGCCACAGGCTGGCCATAGAGCCTTTACAGTCTTAGTGGATTGGGAAAGAACTGTGAAAGGGCTGAGCTGTTTTAGACAAAAATGCTGTACTCTTTCCACTGTTCTACCCAGCCTCCCTTTCTGGGCTCTTTGTTGTGGGTGACATTCCTCACTCACTTCCTACCTCCAAACTCTCCTTCTAGCTTCTAGGATTTTGGTTCCTTGAACATTTCTCAGCTCTGCTGGCTTCTATGATTTGGGCATCTCTCACTGCCTTGGGTGAGAAATTCCACACATTAGCCAACAACCTCCTGACCCCTCCCAGGTCAACCATACTCCTCTCCTTCAGTCACCATCACCCTAATAGGGGGTGCAGGAGATCCTTGATAGAAAGAACCAAACAAGCCTATTGTCTCAGAACTCAAAATCATTTCTTTGCTGCTGGAGCCACCATATACTGTCTCTTATTCTGTCCCTGTTCTAGTTTGGTCCCTTTCAGACTGTGTTATTGTACTTGGCAAATCCACGCAAGTTGACATGGGAGTCTTATAACAAAGTCCACTAATGTCTGTTTCCATGCTGGGAATTCCTCCAGGCTATAGTCGTTTCTGTCCCCTTTGCTTCTACTTATTCATTGCCTCCCCTTGTTTTCCTACCCATATTGGCTCCATACCTTGGCACCACTCTAGGACAGTGAGGGGACCAGGCACCGTATCCTGGTCCCTCTAGGATGCTACCCTACTTGGCCACCTTTGTTCCATTTTATCCTATCAGGAGAGGGTAATCAAAATTCCCTTTGTTTCTATGGTAGTTTTTGCTGCTTACCTGGCTGTTTGATATTCTCTTTCCTAAAATGTTGCAAACTAGGATCTGAACCAACAGCAGCAATAATGGGTAGTGGAAATCTGCATTTTGGAAACTGGTAAAATGGGGTGGAATTCCTGAATCTGTCTATCACCTGCTAGTGAGGAGACTTTGGACATGTTACCTGACCTTTTTAAGCCCCAGTTTCATCATTTGTAAAACAGTGATCTAGTCTTGGAGAGTTGTTGGGAAGATTAAGGAATATTATGTGAGACTTATGTGAACTACTTACTAAATGCTTGTTATTATTATTGGAAGATTTGTTATGAGAACAGTTATTATCCACCTTCCCAGTTACTGAATAGGGTTAAGGAGTTCAGCTGATCTGAAAAATAAAATGCATTTGCTGCGAAGCACACAAATGAATCCCTCTCTATGAGCATCCACCAAGAGAAGCATATACAACAAGCTCTGCAAAGAAGCACATTCTGAGGTGCAGAAGAATGCAATTCAAGGATAAAAATTAAGCACCAAAATCACATTATGCATTAAAAAACACAAATAGTAAGAAAATGATAGAATCAAGAAAAAGTCACAGTCCTAAGACATTGCTGATCTCAATAAATGGCTGTTGACTGTGGAAGGGCCTAAGGGAAGTTGGCTCCAAAGTACTCTATGCTCAGTCTACCTATATAGAATTCTAGAGAGAAATAGTGTTCAGGTTGAATGTGGCAGCAGGCTGAGGGTATGAGAGAACAAGGTAGCAACAAGAAATGCAAGGGTGGGCTTCCCTGGTGGCGCAGTGGTTGAGAGTCCGCCTGCCGATGCAGGGGACATGGGTTCGTGCCCCGGTCCGGGAAGATCCCACATGCCGTGGAGCGGCTGGGCCCGTGAGCCATGGCCGCTGAGCCTGTGCGTCCGGAGCCTGTGCTCCGCAACGGGAGAGGCCAAAAAAGTGAGAGGCCCCCGAAACAAAAAAAAAAAAAAAAAAAAAAAAAGAAATGCAAAGGTTTGAGCAGCAATAAGACACAGGCCAATTAATCGACAGAAATCAAGAGTGAGTAAATAAATATCAGAGGGCAGAGCAAGATAGGATGACCAAAGTACATGCAAACAATTTGCAGGGAGGAGAGCTGTTGATCAGTCAAACAGCTGGCGTCAGAGAGGGTCACAGGAAATGTGGAAGAGGCAGAGTTGAAGGGAGAACATACAGTACCCAGATCCAGCAGAGAAGGACTCTCAATACAGAAGCAATGCGCTCTCTTAGCCTCAGCAGCCATTATAGTCCTCTCACCCTGGTGAGAATGCATCTGTAGTGAGCCTGGTCTGTACTCTTGCTGGTGATAAGTCACTGTATGATTAGGAGTGGGGGTGAGACTTGACAAAGTTCTCTGGAAAAGTATTTCAGTGCTGTCTTCACTGACTTCTTAGAGGCAGGTTTATCTGAGTGTCATTGATGGAAAGAAACTCGATTGGATCATGAATCTGATCAGTAAATCCCCATGGGCAGTCCTCAGGTCCACAGCGTTCCTGGTTAATAAAATGGCAGGATTATCCACAGTGTCTTTCTAAGGAAAATATTTAATGTGTCTAGTAGTTTTTCTGGTTTTACACCTCAGTGGAGAAATAGAGAGTATTGCCCTAGAAATATGTTTTCCTTTCAGATGTGCAATGCCAAGTACATCTTTAAAGAGTCCAAAAATGTCAATCTTAAAGCCCCTGAAGGAATCTTTTGTCTGGTGGTATATCAATTTTTATATAGATGAGCTAAGTTCCACAGAAAATTTGGGAGGCCAAGTGACATAGTGAAAGTGCATGGGTTTTAGTGTCTGACAAATCTAGTTTGAATTTCAGCTTTACCACTTAACAGCTATGTGACTTTGCACAAATTATTTAACCACTCTGAGTCTCAGTTTCCCCAGCTATAAAATGGAGATAATAAAACATAAAAGAATTTGTAACTACAGTGTGTAACTGCAGAATAATTGCTCCTCAAAAATGTCCATGTCCTAATCCCTGTAACCTGCAAGTATGTTGAATATGTTACCTTACTTGGCAAATGGATTTTGCAGATGTGATTAAGGTTAACACCTTGAGATGGGAAGATTATTCTGGACTATCTAGGTGGGCCCAAGATAATCACATGAGTCCTTAAAAGCAGCGAACCTTTCCAGGTGAGGTCAGTCAGAGGGACATGTGACTCTGGAGGGTCAGAGAGATATGATGGAAAGAGGACTTGACTCACCATTACTGGCTTTGAAAATGGAAGAAGGGTACCATGAGCCAAGGAATGCAGGCATCCTGTAGAAGCTGGAAAAGCCTAGGAAGCAGATTTTTCCCTAGAGCCTCCAGAAAGGAATGAAGCCCTGATGATATCTTGATTTTAGTCCAGTGGGGCCCATGTTGAACTTCAAAACTTCAGAGCTGTAAGGTAATAAATTTCTGTTGTTTAAGCCACTAAAGGTGTGGTAATTTGCTGTAACAGCAATAGAAACCAATATATACAGGCACCAAAAATGGCTCAGGACCATGGGGATAATTGATGGCATGGCTGTCTAATTAACCAATTGATGACTCATAATAATCAAGCAGTAATTATTGATGATATGATGAAAATGATCTTCATAACTCATAAATATTATTCCAAAATAATACTTATTTTTTTCCTTCTAATCTTCCATTTTAAAATGCAGATGTGGCCAAGCAAATCTGGCTACCCCAGCTCAAGAATGATAAGAGAGTTTTCTTAAAATGTGGAGTAAAAAAATAAGATATGGATGGCAGGAGTTGTAGACTGAGCCTCAGCTCCACTCTGAATTCAAGCATGTCAGGACACTTCCATATGGGCTGGCCACAGAAAGGGATAATGTGCTTCAAATAATTGGATTCCTTGGAGCTCATGTACTATCCTCAGGCTGCCCAAAGTTGAGACCCACCCCCCAACAAATGGCAATTCACTCAAGTTACCTTTACTAAATGGTTTATTATAAAGATACATATTTATGGAAACCCAGGGAAGGATGAGCAATCAGGGTAAGGAAGAACAGGAATAGGAGAGTGGCTATGCATTCCAGGCAGTTCCAAGACCTCAGCCACAGATTTTGTGAATCTTTCCTTTTAAGTGACTCAGCTACTCCCTGTGTGTCGCCACACTCTCCACTCACTACCTCCTGGCTTTCTTACCATCTACTCTGTGTGTTTTCTGCATAATAGGCTCTGCTTACTCATAACTTAGGTTACTCATAACTTGACTTAGTCAAAGCTTTGACTCATTCAAGTTTCCTCCTGACTTCCCCAACTTCTCTTTTTTTTGCTGTACACGTACCTCTCACTGTCGTGGCCTCTCCCGCTGCGGAGCACAGGCTCCGGACACGCAGGCTCAGTGGCCATGGCCCACGGGCCCAGCCGCTCCGCGGCATGTGGGATCCTCCCGGACCAGGGCACGAGCCCACGTCCCCTGCATCAGCAGGCAGACTCTCAACCACTGCGCCACCAGGGAAGCCCCCCGCCCCCAACTTCTCTTAATCCTACCGCCTTTCAGCTTTATTTATGCATTTATTCATTAATTTGAAAAATACCTATTGACCACCTACTATGTGCCCCCATGCAGCTTATTGTTTAGTCAGAAAGAGAGACATTCATCACATAATCACAAAAGTGCTTCAGGTGTATTCCAATTGCCTCAGTTTCTTTGTTCAAACCAGGCGTTGGGATCAGTTGCTGGAAACTCTGTGGACCAACTGGCTGCCTTCAGGAGCAGCAGCAATAGGTTGTCATGTTTATTACTACAACACTCCCCTTTCCCCAGACAGAGCTGATCAGACTAAGGGCTGGCATTTGACCAAGGACAATTAATACAGTGGCTGGCCAGGAAACTGCAGTTTGACTCAAACTATTAATAATAAGCTTCCCATAGAAGGAAGAAATTATAGTGTAGCAGACAGTATATAGAATTAACATATTTACCACTGGGGAATAAGCTTACACTCCAGAGCAGTAATCTAAATGTGGAAGGATGTCATCCATAGGGAGCTTTCTCATTCATGAGATAGAAAGTTAGAAGGCACTTATCTGATTCAGGAACTCTGAGAAGGAAGCAGGACAGAGAGCAGGAGTGGTCTTGAACATAACGTAAGGCAGAGCTCATCACTCAAATCATGGCCAGAGTGAGGTGTAGGGAAACTCTGCCATGTTCCTTGCTGGAAGGTATCATAGCCTTAGGTAGGGATAAATCAGTGATGGTTTCCATGAGGTGTGCTTCTTAGGGCTGGCTGGAAGATGTGGCAAGAGCAAGAGGCCTTTGGATTCTCTGAGACAGTCCTTAGTCTGAGCCTAAGTGCCAAAGCTTTCAACATAGCGCTGGTTTTTATGCCAGACTTATGTCATCGTGTTTACTTTAGGCAGTTCTCAATGAAGTACCTTATTTTATTTTATTTTATTTTTTGTTTCTTTGGCCGTGCTGCACGGCTTGCGGGATCTCAGTTCCCCAACCATGGAGATCAAATCCGTGCCTCCTGCAGTGGAAGCACAGAGTCCTAACCACTGGACCGCCAGGGAATTCCCTCAATGAAGTGTTTTAGACAAGCCATGGTATGCAAAGGCATCACGGCCACAACTAAAGCATATGACCCTGAGTTCCCCTGTAGGAACCCATAGGTAGGAGTTTATGTGGAGAAATTCAGATCGAGGGGCAGCCCCCTACCTTGTTGATTGTGGTTGGCAACAAAGTTGGCATGGCTCAACTGGCTACAGGTGCTATGCTGTGTTAGTGGTGTGGCTGGAAAGGAGGTAAACCCAGGAGTACTGAATAGTAAGAGCATTCTCTAGAAGGCAGATTGACTAAAGGGCTGGTGGTTCCTTGGAGTTTGCGTATTTTGGTTTTTGGAACAGGATTTCAGCACATTTGTTCTGCTGTCTGAAGACAGGCTTGATTTTGAGATAAAAACACACAGAGGACTAAAGTTTCTCTGGGACCATCTGGTATTGTGTCCCAAAACTGACTTAGAGAGAAGTATTTGATGTTGGTCCATAGTTACTTGAGGTTATGGTGGTTCATGCAGAGACCTTAGTCACGATCCTGGAACACAGAAGCAGGAATCCAGGAACTGTAGCTCTGCCAGGAGCAGAACAATGACCAACCAATAGGCTATATTAGCATTCACTGTGAAAGCCCAGGGGTTGACCCCCTCTTTTAAACAAGGTCTGGTGGAGAATCATCACAGTCAGAGCTGAAAAGCAGGCAATGAAATGTCTTTCGTATGAGCGTCATATTTACATGCATGCTGAGAATCTGTGTTCAATGGTTTCTTAGCAAGTAGTAACAGTGTTGATAAAGTTGTCCTAGATCCTCATTTAATCATCAAGGGACATCATTCAATCATCAAGTAGGGCAAGCCAGAAATCTCAGTGGTCCTTGGTCCCCAACCCATATCCAATCCAATACCAAGTCTTGTCAATACCATCTTCAATCCATTTCTCTCCTTTTTTCTTTTACTTTTTTAAAAAATTTATTTATTTATTTTTTGGCTGCAGTGGGTCTTCGTTGCAGTATGCAGGCTTCTCATTGCAGTGGCTTCTCTTGTTGCAGATCACAGGCTCTAGGCGCGTGGGCTTCAGTAGTTGTGGCTCACAGGCTCTAGAACTCAGGCTCAGTAGTTGTGGCACATGGGCTTAGTAGCTCCGTGGTACGTGGGATCTTCCCGGACCAGGGATCAAACCCATGTCCCCTGCATTGGCAGGCAGATTCTTAACCACTGCGCCACCAGGGAAGTCCCTCTCCTTTTTCTCTATAACCACTCTAGTTCGAGCTACCATCTTCTCTTGTCTGGACTTCTGAGATAGCTTTCTAATGGTTTGCCCACATTTCCTCTGCCTCCAATCTACTTTCCTCACAGCAGCCGGTGGTCTTCTCCCTTCCCCTTATTTATTTTTTATTAATTAGTAGACTTTATTTCTTAGAGCAGTTTTAGGTTTACAAAAATCGAGCACAGAGTTCCCTTATACCTCCTCTCTACTCTACTCCCAGTTTCCTCTATTATTAATATCTCATATTCGTGTGGTACATTTGTTACAGTTGATGAACCAATGTTAATATACTATTATTAATTAAAGCCCATCTTCATATTGGGGTTCACATTTTGTATTATACAGTTCAATGGATTTTGACAAATGCATATTGTCACGTATTCACCATTACAGTGTCATTCAGAACAGTTTCACTGCCCTAAAAAAGGCCCTGGGGCGCGAGCCGCGGCTAACATCGCGGACCCTAGAGACGGGCATGAGACGCTAAGGCTGCTGCTGCCGCCACCAAGAAGCCTGTGTGCGAGCACAGGTCACTATCCACACCTCCCTTCCAGGGAGCCTGTGCAGCCCGCCACTGCCAGGGTCCCGGGATCCAGGGACAACTTCCCCGGGAGAACACACGGCGCGCCTCAGGCTGGTGCAACGTCACAGTGGCCTCTGCCGCCGCAGGCTCGCCCCGCATCCGCACCCCTCCCTCCCCCCGGCCTGAGTGAGCCAGAGCCCCC